CCTCAGCCTCCCAAAGTGCTGGGATTACAGGCTGAGCCACCGAGCCTGGCCAGACTTAGCATGTTTTCAAAGTTCATCCATGTTGTAGCATGTAGTGTGTATCACTACTTTATACCTTTCCATTGCCAGTAATATATTACTGTATGGATATAACACATTCTGTTTATCCATCCATTTATTCAAGGACATTTGGGATGTTTCCATCTTTGGGCTATTATGAATAATGCTGCTATAACCTTATATTTTCATTTCTTTTGAGTATATACTTAGGAGTAGAATTTCTGGGTCATATGGTAAACTCCATAACCACTGGGGGGACAGATTCACTACACCATTTTACATTTTCACTGTCTCTGTATGTAGGTTCCCATTATTCCATGTCCTTGCCAGTATTTGTTATTACCTAACTTTTTGAGTATAGTTGTCCTACTGGGTGTAGCGAGGTATCTCACTGAGGTTTTTACTTTCATTCTCCTGATGATTAATGATGTACATATTTTCGTATGTGTATCGGCCAATTGTATATCTTTGGAGAAATGTCTGTTTAGATCTGGTTTTTTTGAAGAATATGTGAATAATTTGTGTTTATATATATATATATATATTTTTTTTTTTTTTTTTTGAGTTGGAGTCTCACTCTGTTGCCCTGGCTGGAGTGCAATGGCATGCTCATGGTCACTGTGGCCTCAACCTGCTGGGCTCAAGTGATCCTTCTGCCTCAGCCTTCCAAGTAGCTGGAACTACAGGCATGCACCATCATGCCCAGCTGATTTTTTGATTTATTGTAGAGATGAAGTCTCGCCAAGTTGCCCATGTTGGTCTCAAACCTGTGGATTCAGGCAATCCTCTCACCTCGGCTTCCCCAAGTGCTAGGATTGTAGGTGTGAGCCACCTCGCCTGGCCTGTTAATTGTTCTTTAAACTTTGGTAGAACTCACCAATGAAGCCATTTGCCTCTGAGTTTTTCTTTATGGGAAGTTGCTTTATTACTAATCCAATCTCTTTACTTTTTTGGTATAAGTTTATCATATTTTTCAAATGCTCTTGAGACATTTTGGTAGTTTGTGTCTTTCTAGGAATTTGTCCTTTTTATCTAGGTCATCTATTGTTGGCCTTCCTAGTAGCTGGGACTACAGGCACATGTCACCCTGCCTGGCTAATGTTTTAAATTTTTTGTGGAGACGAGGTCTCACTATGATGCCCAGGCATCATGAACTCTTGGTAGCAATTTTCCTACCTTCACCTCCCAAAGTGCTGGGATTACAGGTATGAGCCACTGTGCCCAGTCTAATTCTGTTAGCTTTTGCTTCACACATGTTGGCACTTTGTTGTTAAGTGCATATGTATTTATCTTCTTGATGAATTGACCCTTTTATCTTTTTATCATGTTCTTATTTGTCATCAGTAACAAGTTTTGTCTCAAAGAGTATTTTGTTTGTTATTAGTATAACCATTCTTTCTTTTGGTTGCTGTTTGCAAGGTATATCTTTATCCATTCCTTTATTTTCAACACATTGTGTCTTTGTGTCTAAAGTCAGTCTCTTGTACTCAGACTATAGTTGAATCATATTTTTTATCCATTCTGCCAATCTCTGCCTTTTACTTGGAGTATTTACATAAGCACTACTGAGAAAGAATTTCTTCTACTTTGCTATCTGTTTTCTAGATTTCTTCAGTGTTTTTTTTCTGTATTCTTTCTTCACTGCCTTCCTTTGTGTTAAGCAGAGATTGGTTAGGGCATCATTTTAATTTCCTTCTTGTTTCTTTTGATATATATTGAGAGAGAGAGAGAGATATCAAGAAGGTGAGGGCAAGAACAAGAGCGACATGGTTTTACTCTGTCACCCAAGCTGCAGTGCAGAGGCATGATCCTGGCTCACTGTATCCTCTACCTCTTGGACTCAAGTGATCCTCCTGCTTCAGTCTCCTGAGTAGCTGGGACTACAGGCATGCACCACCACACCTGGCTAATTTTTGATTTTTTTGTTGAGGTGAGGTCTCACTGCATTGTCCAGGCTGGTCTTGAACTCCCTGGCGCAAGCAATCCTCCTGCCTTGGCCTCCCAAAGTGCTAGGATTACAGGAATGAGCCACCATGTCCAGCCTTTTGCTATATTTAAAATTTTATTTTCTTCAGGTTACTCTGGTATTATCTTAATCTATAACAGTCTTATTTGAAGTAGTAATACTATATGTTTCCATTATAAAAATTTGCTTCTGTGTAGCTCTATTCCCACTTTTATGCTATTATTGTCACAAATTACATCTTTATATATAGTGTCCAACCACATAAATTTACATTCAATTGCTTTATGTAGTTGTCTTTTAAATAATATAGGAGAACCAAAGCTAAAGTCAAAAAACACATTTATCCTTTTTGTTGTGTTTACCGAGGTAGTTACCTTTACCAGTGCTCTTTATTTCTTCATGTGGATTTGAGTTACTGTCAAGGAACTTTTCATTTCAGTCTGGAAGACTCTCTTCAGTTTTTATTGTTGGGCAAGTCTCCTTATGGCGAACTCTGTTTGTTTTTGTTAATTTGGGAATGTCTTCATTTTGCTTTCATTTTTGAATTCTGTGTTTTGCTATGTGTAGAATTTTTAGTGCACAGTCTTTTTCTTTCAGCACTTTATGCCACCCACAGCTCTTAGGCCTCCATAGTTTCTGATGGAATAAGCTCATATAACAATCTGATTGAGGATTGCTTGTAGGCCATGAGTTTCTTCTCTTTTGCTGCTTTCAAATTTCTCTTTGTCTTTTGATAGTTTGGTTAATGTGTTTGGCTGTGAATATCTTTGAGTTTATCCTATTTGGAGTTTGTTGAGCTTCTTGTGTAGGCTGAGCTTTTTCATCAGTATAATTTAGGAAAATTTTGGTCCCTATTTCTTCAAATATTCTTTCTGCCTCTTTCTTTCTTTTTATTTTCTCCTGGTACTTCGACTGTGCTTATGTTGATATGCTTAATGATGTTTCCACAGGTCACATAGGCTGTGCTCATTTTCCTTGATTCTCTATTTCTTCTGTATGTTAGACTGGATCATCTCAATGGACCCAACTTCACATTCACTAATTCCTTCTTCTGCCTGCTCGAATCTGCTGTTGTGCTTATTTGGTGAATTTTTCATGTAGTTATTGTACTTTTCAACTCCTGAATCTGTTTTTTTCTTTGACTAAGTTCTAACTCTATATTGATATTCTCTGTGTGATAAGACATTGTTCTTATACTTTCCTCTTTCTTGGGTATGATTTCTTTCAGCTCTTTGAACATATTTAAAACAGACAACATAAGTCTTTGTCCAGTAAGTCCAACATCTGTGTTTCTTAAGGAATGATAGCTGTCAACTACATTTTTATTCCTGTGATGGGCAGTATTTTTGTTTCTTTGTATGCGTCCTACATTTCTGGAGGAAACTGGACATTTAAAATAACATAGTATAGCAACTCTGAAAATCAGATTCTCCCATTTTCTGGATTTTGT